GGACGGAAGGCTGAGTCAATCTTGAGCTGGTCAGGATCGAACTTCCTGGGTATGGGCAGAGTTAGTCTGCAGTACAGCATTCTAACCACTGCACCACTTTGGCTCATACTATGAAGCTGGTTCTCCAAGTGAATAGAAGCTTTATCAACGTTAGCATTGCACATTTTATCGCTCCCTTATCAGATGCTTGCTTGCTTCCGTCCCTTCCCTACCTTACCTTACCCTACCCTTCCCCTTTCTAAGCGGTTTACAGAGTCAGCCTATTGTTCCCCCAACAATCTGGCTCCTCATTTGACCCACCTCGGAAGGAGGGAAGGCTGAGTCAACCTTGAGCCTGGTGGGATTTAAACTGCCCAAAATGCAGTCAGCAGAAGCAGCCTGCAATACCGCACTCTCACCACTGCGCCACTGAGGCTCATAAAGTCGCTCATGAAGCTTAAGAAGCACTGAGAGAACTGTATGCTGAGAAGTTGCTTTGTTCCCTCATTCTAGAACCTGCTCTCTGTGGGGCGGTGGGCTTCACGGCTCTAGAAGGCAAGAGACCCGGTCATTCTAGCAACGCAAACTTGGCTGGGCTAAGGAAAACAAGGAGAGTCAGAAGAGAAGACGCCTTAAACAGGCCATACCTGTGTTGGAACCCACTTACTGTAGTCGTCTGACTCATCCATGATCTCCGACTTGATGATCTCTTCAATGACGTCTTCCAGGGTCACCAACCCCATGACTTCGTAGAATGGGTCCCCTTCCCCTTCGTTGTTCACCTTCTGCACAATAGCCATGTGGGATTTCCCTGGAAATAGAAAGAGAATATTTCTAGAGTTGGAAGGGACCACGGAGGACTTCTAGTCTAGCCCGCCGCTTAGACAGGAAACCCTACACCACCTTGGACAAATGGCTGACCCATCTCTCTTTTTTTTAAAAAAAAAGCTTCCAATGTTGAAGCATTCGCAACTTCCGGTGGCGAGTTGTTCCACTGATTAATGGTTCTCACTGTCAGGAAATTTCTCCCTAATTCCAGGTTGCTTCTCTCCTTGATTAGTTTCCATCCGTTGCTTCTTGTCTTGCCTTCTGATGCTTTGGAACAGGCGGTCTCCACAACCGTGGCAACTTTAAGCCTGGAGGACTTCGACTCCCAGAATTCCCCAACCTTGGCAACTTTAAGCCTGGAGGACTTCGACTCCCAGAATTCTGAGAGCTGAAACCCACCAGGCTTATATATAGTTGCCAAGGTTGGAGTTGCCTGCTTTGGAGAATAGCTTGACTCCCTCTTCTTTGTGGCAGCCCCTGAGAGATTGGAACACTGCTCTCATGTCCCCCCCAGTCCTTCTTTCCAGTAAACTAGACAAAACTCAATTCCTGAAACTGTTCTTTATATGTTCTTTATATGAAAGAGAAGGTTAAGCCTCCAAACACGGTGGAGAAGTCGAGAAATAAAAGAGCTGAGGCTGCCATGGTTCTCTACCCTGAGCAAGAGGACAGCAGCCGGGGCTGGGGGGGGGGGGGGGGGGGGGGGGGGCGCTCCTCAACCTTTCCAAAGCCCTGGATGTGGGGAAACTGTTGGGTGCAGGGCCACAATCACAGTGGAATCCATGGGACCCTCTGAGATTTGGATCTTGGCAAGCTCAGGTTGTTAAAGGCAAAGGTTCCCCTCGCACATCCGTGCTACTCGTTTCTGGCTCTAGGGGGCGCTGCTCATCTCTGTTACAAAGCCCAAGAGGCAGTGCTTGTCCGAAGACGTCTCCGTGGTCATGTGACTGGCACGACTAAACGCCTTCGAAGGCGCACCAACGCTGTTCCCTTCCCACTTGCATTTTTTTTACGTGCTTTCGAACTGCTCGGTTGGCAGAAGCTGGGAGGAGGAACGGGAGCTCACTCTGTTACGCAGCGCTGGGGATTCGAACTGCCGACCTTTCTGATCGACAAGCTCAGCGTCTTAGCCACTGAGCCACTGCGTCCCATGAGGTTTTATATATGTATGTATATATGTCTGTGTGTGTGTGTGTGTGTGTGTGTGTGTGTGTGTGTGCATCTATCTGTATGTATGTATGTATATGATTATAACATCAGGTTGTTACTCCAAGTTTAATCCTAGCAAACCTGCTTAGTACAACTTCTGCCTATTAGACAAATCAGAATAGCGTCTTTTTCAACTAATACTTTTTATTAAAAGGCAGAAGCTTTTGTGAACGGCATCTCTCTTCTTCAGAAGGATTCAAGAATGTTTTGAATTGGATCTTGGTGTCTTTGTGCTCACGGATGTAGGAGTTATTGCTCTTATTGTCGGTACTTTAAACTGTGGTTACTTGCCTAGTAATTTATGCTGACATGGTTGGGAAAGCCAAACGAATGCTCGCCAAGCCCTGGTAGCGGAGCTACTGCACCTGGGCTGCAAAGAACTGGAGAGCCACTAGGGGGCAATGAGATAGAAAATGCTGCCACCTGGTGGCACATTCGAGTTCTGCAGCCCAGAACTGATCCTGAGGTTGCTTTTGATTCTCTCACTCTTTGCACCTAGAAGAAAGGATTGTTTTGGGATTGGAGGGAAGGCGGGACGCAAATCTATGCAAGAAGACCACTTACAGCCTGGAGACAAAACACAAAACAATTCCAATTATGGCAAACGTTCATCTCAAACCTTTGGGATGCTTTGCTTTGGCTTACTGAGTTGAGGCAGCTGATGGGCTGACTGCCTTTGGCCAATGCTGAGCTGTTTGCTTTCATGATAATCCTCCCCTGGCTGGTTTTGAATGCCGACTTTGTTTACGAGCCGCCTTGCCCGCTGCCTTGCAGGAAGTGGGGCGCTGATGTTTCTTACATACAAATGAGCTCTTTAAAAGCACCTGATTTCACTCCTTTGGGCATCCCACTGCATGCTGCAAGACCCTATAGGACCTTTCAGAAAGCAAGAGAAACATCCATTCTCTTATGTTTCTTGAGTGTGTTGAGAAGTTAAGAGACGGAATAGAATAGAATAGAATAGGAATAGGAATAGGAGAGAAGAGAAGAGAAATAGAACAGAAGAATAGGAATAGGAATTATAAAGAAGAGAAGAGCAGAAATAGAAGAATAGGAATAGGAATAGGAGAGAAGGGAAGGGAAGAAAAGAATAGGAATTATAGAGAAGAGAAGAAATAGAATAGAATAGGAATAGGAGAGGAGAGGAGAGAAGAGAAGAATAGGAATAGGAATTATAGAGAAAGGAAGAGAAGAGAAGGAATAGAAGAATAGAAACAGGAATTATAGAGAAGAGAAGAAATAGAATAGAAGAATAGGAATAGGAATAGAAGGGAAGGGAAGGGAAGGGAAGAATAGGAATTATAGAGAAGAGAAGAAATAGAATAGAATAGGAATAGGAGAGGAGAGAAGAGAAAAGAAGAGAAGAATAGGAATAGGAATTATGGAGAAGGGAAGAGAAGAGAAGGAATAGAAGAATAGAAACAGGAATTATAGAGAAGAGAAGAAATAGAATAGAATAGAAGAATAGAATAGGAATAGGAGAGGAGAGGAGAGAAGAATAGGAATTATAGAGAAAAGAAGAGAAGAGAAGAGAAGAGAAGAGAAGAGAAGAGAAGAGAAGAG